ACTTTTAGAGAGTGACCAACCCGTCGGGAGTTAAGTTTGAAAAACATAAATGACAAGTCTCCTTGTCGACAACTTTCTCAAGTCTACCTCTCATATCATTCAAGCTGACGTGCTTATCATGGTTTATCTCTAAGTCCATGGCACTTCAACACTTTCAAAGTGATCAACTCGTCAAGAAGTGTGCTTCGTTTTATAAAACTTGAATGAAATAGTGGAACATTGTTATTGCGAAACAATGTCCACTTTCATTCGGTTTAACATTTAACCCTTTACCCTACACCCGAGGTAATGGAATTAGCTACTCATTACGGAAAGTAAATGACATAAATAAATGACATAAAGTAAAGACATAACTATAAATAACTGAAAGTAAATGACGGAAAGTAAAGACGTAAATGTAAATAACTGAAAGTAAATGACGGGAAGTAAAGACGTAAAATAAATGACAATAAATAAAAGACAAGATATGAAGAACAATAAATAAATACTTAAAAGATTGTAATATTAATAATAAGATGAGAGTGTTTTGGGGGCACAACTTAGACAAAGAATTCGTCCAAGATTGTTGTATGTGAGAAAAAGAGAGGCCAAAGGCCTTTTTTATACCCACCATTTGAAGAAAAGACAAAATAAAGGATAAATACAAAGTACAAAGTACAATATGAGAGGACAACAAAAAGTAGACTTCAACTCTATCAAAACAAGTCATCCAAGGGTCTTCTCCATATCCTATCACCAGCTGCTAATAGTCCAAAATGAGAGCTTCATCAGCTCAGACCTCCATCCAAGACACGGCTTAATCAATAAGCACCTCTTAGAAAGCCAAAATGCAGCCGAGCAATGCTGTTGGAATGCTGCAGCATTACAGTGCAGTGTAATGAGTCAAAAAAAATGTTATCTACTCCAATCTTGTTGTAAAAACAGATTCATCATCACAATTAGCTCCAAACATAACAAATGAAAAATAAAGAAGTAAAAATGACTCAAGGTTGGGATAAACTATAAAAATCTACTTAATAATCAAAAGCAATAGGTACTTTAAGCATGTAATAAATCATGCTTATCATACCCCCAAACTTAAAGTGTTGCTTGTCCCAAAGCAACCAAATGACAACAAAAAATGACTCAATATAGTAAGGTATACAAGATTAAGGCAGTAAGTGCACACATAAAGCAAAGCATATCATTTATGAACATCATAGCCTTTCATAAATTTTTAGCAAACCATTCATAGCCTACTTTTCATGTATGAACCATATGCTAGCAATAGTCTTTTCCTTAATGAACTCAACACACCTCTTCATGCTAGGGTCAATAGGACTTTGTTTAAGGCTCTCCTCTCTTTGGCTAATTTCTTTTCTTACCTTGCCTTTTTCACTTATGCTTCATCATTCAATTTTTTAAATTTTTGGCACTATGTGCTCTTTATGATGAAAGCATGCACATTGCCCCTATGGGACATTTTTGTGCTAATAAAACAGATTCCACAAAGGCCTTAGAGCTTTGCTCTTTTGTATTTGAAGTTGTGGCCTATGTGGTATATCCTCCCCCAAACTTGAACTTTTGACAATGCCCTCATTGGCTATGTTGGTGGAAAGTGTATTAAGGCTACAAGGGGCTTCTTTAAGAGGTAAATGAAGAATGTCCTAAATTGTACCCAAATGTGTAGTGGTGTGTGAGGAGAGTTTGGCTCAAGAGAAGACATATGCTAGTTCTAGCAAGAACATCATTAGTAGGTGAATGGCTATTTACCTTCAAATTTATTTAGGCTATGATATCAAGAACTAGTTGCAATGATCATGTAATCAAGTATGAAAATAAAGCTAAAAAGTGAGAAAACTATCCCCAGACTCTAACTAAAATTTGGAAGCTAAAGGTGAATGAATGAACCTGTCCTACTCCAAGGGAGTAGGCTGTGTGGCTTGTGACTCCATGGCTGCATCTCTAAGGTGCTCATTTTCTTCTCTTAGCCTCCTGTTTTCAGCCTTGAGGTTCTGCATCCTCTTTTCCATCTTGTTCATCTTTCTGCCCACCATCCTCTTCATCTGAACTTTCAATTTTTTTAAGTCCATTCTCCCCTGCCTCTGTCCCTTCTTGATCTGCTTCTTCACCTCTGTTTTCAACTCCTCCATCTTGGACAAGGATTCTGACCTTTGCATCAAGATGCTGTCCAGCAGGGTGCTGTTTTGAGACAGCAAGTCTTGGATCATTCCCATCAAATCAACAGCTCCCATGCTTCTGCTAGTCCTCTCCTTGAGCCTTGACACAGCCTTTAGGTCTATGATAGACCTTTCTGCTCCTTCCTTGATGATGACATCCTCCTCAAAAACTTGCACTCCTGCACTCTTCAACAATCTGTCAATGACCCCAGGGAGATACAACTTCCCTTGGGTCCTGTTAGCACAATACACAATGACCTTGTGTAAAATATCTCCCACATTAATTTTCTTTCCTTTAAGAATGCAGTATAGCAGAATCACCCTTTCCACATTAAGGGAGTTGTCATGGGTTGTGGGATGCAGAGAATGCTTGACAAAATTGACCCAAACATTAGCATTGGGGGTCAAATTAGCAGCTTTGAAGACCCTTAAAGAAAAGTTTGCATGGGGCTCCCATGTTGTGCCTGGCCTTGCTACTGCCTCACAGATTTTATTAAGCTTAATTTCAGAGGCAGTGTGCTTAAGGGTCTCAAAATCTGAATTGAAGTGAGTGGTGAGACCTAAGACATTGTTCAATGTCTCATCATCAAAAGATAAGCATACACCTCTAACCTTGATCACACATGATTTGGTAGCAGCAACCTTAGCATAGAATTCTCTAATTAGTGAAAGGTTGTAAGAACTATGTACCTTATAGAAGCTTTGCCATCCTAGAATATTAATCACCTCTTTGATGAACTGGCATTCTTCCACACTTTTGTAATCAAAGCCTTTGTTGGGCCAGGCAGTTTTGTCCTTGAACTTTTCAAACAGAGCTTTGGCCTTGACAGAACTGAAGCCTTCCAAAGGTAGCATGGACCTCTTTGTGATTGCAGGGGTGGATGAAGCAGGACTGGATGAAGCATGAGCAGGCTGTTGTTGGCATGGTGCAGCATTCTGTGACTGCCTTGTGATTCTTCTTGGAGAGTTCTGTACAGCTGCAGCCTTGCCCTTTTCAGAAGCACTAAGCTTCTTCTTCTTAAGTACAGGGCCTAAGGTTTGAGCTGTTCTCTTGGCTGGTTTTTTTCCCAAAGCTTTCCTCTTCTTAAGGGAGGCTTGGCATGAGGGGGACTAGGTTGATGTCTGTTCCACAATGCTTGGTTCCACAGGGCTTGGTTTGAACTGATCAATCCCCATTTTGGCCAAGAAGTCATCAATGACCTCAAAGTCCTTGCTTTGAGGTGTGGCTTCAACAAACTCATCAACAGAGGCATGGGTGGTTTGATCGTTCCAAGGAAGCAAATATACCCTTCCCAAGTCTTCTACCGTAGTGGCATCATTCTCAGACTCGGATGAAACATAATCTTCTATAAGTACAGTAGGGTTGAATATTACCTCAATGTCATGCTCAGATTCATCCACAGGAGGTTCGTTGAGATCATTGATTTGGACTCTTCTATTGCTTGATTCGTGCACAGGGGATTTAGCCATTGTGGAAGATGAAGGGACAGCCGGCTGTTGAAGTGTAGGAACAGCCTCTTCTTCACTCATGGTCATCGAATCACTGTTGTCACTAAGCTCTACCATCTCTGGCTTAGCATTTGAAGGCAGAACAGAAGTCCTCCGACGATTGCTTCTACGAACAGGGCCTCTTGGCTGAGGTCGGGTAGACGCTCTCTTTAGCCTAACCATGGTGGAAGACTACAAGTGAAGGAGTATGGAGATTGAGAAATGCAGAAAAAGGGATGAGGGTTTGTGAGTGACAGCAGGTACGGTGGTGGTGGAGTTTAGGCCGGTGACGAAGGTGAGGGTATGGAGTGATGGGGGGAGAGACGAGTGGGAGAGGGGATTGAAAAGTTGGGTTAAGAAAAGGTGATAGCTAATGATTTCTAAGGAGTACTTAGTGGGGTTAAGTGGTTACCAGCCGGCGGTTTCACAAAGGAAAGTACAAGGTCATTAAAGCAAAAATCTCTTCATTAATTGAGACAAAACCCCTTAAACCCAACCTTTCATCATGATCATTTTTCTTTTCTTTTTGACAGAAAAGTGAGTGATGAGTGTGTAAGAGAGTGTAAGGGGTTGTGCAAGGTACCATGTACCTTTATGTACTACTATGTATTATCCTAAGACTTTGAACATTTGCTTAACCCAACTAATCCTTCCTCCTTTCTTTCTTTTTCAAAAACCAGCGCCATTTTTCCCCAATATTTTAAAAACCATCTTTTTTAAGAAAAGTTTTAACAATAAAAGCTCAACCCACTTTTTTCACTTCACACAAGGTTGCAGGCCTGCTGCAGCATTATGAGCTGTTTACCAGAGTTTTATGAAAACACACCAAATCATGAAAACTTTAAAACACAAACAACCTATGAAACTAAACTTTATTTACAAACAAAGGTGGACTTTTAAGAAGTCCAAGGGGGATCTTTGAGATTTCAACAAGGGGCAGCACAGCTCTCAGAGTGCTGTTCTGAGACTGTTGCCGGATCATGATACACTTTTACCCTTTGTCCATTAACCTTGAAAATAGAATTATCTTCCGGGTTTACCAAATCCACTGCTCCATAAGGATAAACTTTAGAAATAAGAAAAGGCCCAGACCATCTAGACTTAAGTTTTCTAGGGAATAACTTCAGTCTAGAATTAAATAACAAGACCTGCTGGCCTTCTCTCAAATCCCTGTGTTGGATTCTATTATCATGCCATTTCTTTGTCTTTTCCTTATAAAGTTTGGCATTCTCATAAGACAACAATCTATGTTCATCCAACTCACAGAGTTGTAACATCCTTTTCTTTCCGGTATCTTTCAAAGACATATTGAGCTCTTTGATAGCCCAGTATGCTTTGTGCTCAAGCTCTAAAGGCAGATGGCAGGCTTTACCAAAGACTAACTTGTATGGGGACATACCTATTGGTGTTTTAAAAGCAGTTTTGTATGCCCATAAAGCGTCATCTAATTTAAATGCCCAATCCTTTATATTGGGTTTTACATTTTTTTTCCAAAATGCCTTTTATTTCTCTGTTAGAGAGCTCAGCTGAACCATTTGTTTGTGGATTATAAGTTGTGGCAATTCTGTGGTTAACATTATATTTTTCAAGAACTCCCTTCAATAAATTGTTTACAAAGTGGGTACCCTCGTCACTGATTAGTGCCCTTAGGGTACCGAACCGTGTGAAAATTTGTTTTTGAAGAAACTTAACCACAGTTTTTGCGTCATTTGACACACATGCCATGGCTTCTACCCACTTGGATACATAGTCAACAGCCACAAGAATGTACTGGCAATTATTTTATGGGGGGAAAGGACCCATAAAGTCTATTCCCCAAACGTCAAATAACTCAATTTCTAATATCCCATTTAATGGCATTTCATTTCTCTTGGAAATGGAGCCACTTCTTTGACATTCGTTGCACCTCTGTGCAAAATTGTAGGAATCTTTAAAAAGTGTAGGCCAATAGAAACCTGATTGTAGGACCTTGGTTGCAGTCCTTTGACCTCCAAAATGTTCTCCGTATGGTGCATGATGGCAATGATGCAGGATTGCTGCCACCTCAGATTCAGGTACACATCTTCTCAGAATCTGATCTGCACCAAGTCTAAACAGAAATGGGTCATCCCACAAATAAGATTTARCATCATGAAAAAATTTCTATAACATGTGACCTGTGTAATCAGAGGGTTTTATTCCACAGGCCAAGAAATTAGCTAAATCAGCAAACCATGGTGTCTTAGATTGGTTTATCATGAGGATTCTCTCATCTGGAAAAGTATCATTAATGTCCATTCCCTCTCTCTCTCAGGTTCTTCCAACCTAGACAAATGGTCTGCCACTTGATTCTCTATTCCCTTACGATCAAGTATCTCTAAGTTAAATTCTTGTAACAAAAGCACCCATCTTATCAACCTAGGTTTTGTATCTTTCTTTGAGATCAGGTACTTGATGGTTGCATGATCAGTATGCACAATTACCTTTGTTCCCATCATATAGGACCTAAATCTCTTAAAAGCAAAAACTATAGCCAATAATTCTTTCTCAGTTGTGGTGTAATTGATTTGTGCCTCATTCAAAATCTTACTTGCGTAGTAGATTGAATGAAACACCTTCTCCTTTCTTTGCCCTAACATAGCACCTACCGCCCAATCACTAGCGTCACACATGATCTCAAAAGGYTTGTTCCAGTCAGGGGCAATTACCACTGGTGCGGTAACCAAAGCTTTTTTCAAAGTTTTGAATGCATTTATGCATTCATCATTAAAGTTGAATTTTTGATCATGTTGGAGGAGTAAACAAAGAGGTTTTGAAATTTATAAAAAATCTTTGATAAACCTTCTATAAAATCCGGCATGACCCAAAAAGCTTCTGATTCCCTTAACCGTGGTAGGTTCGGGTAGTTTTTCAATTACCTCAAGCTTTGCCTTATCTACCTCAACCCCTCTTTTTGAAATCAAGTGCCCAAGAACAATACCTTCTTTGACCATGAAGTGACATTTCTCCCAATTAAGAACCAAGTCTGTCTCCTCGCACCTTTCTAAGCTCTTTTTTAAATTATTCAAAAAATTGTCAAATGATGAACCATATACAGAAAAGTCATCCATAAATATTTCAATGGATTTTTCAAGCATATCAGAAAATATGGACATCATACATCTTTGAAAGGTGGCAGGAGCATTACACAGTCCGAATGGCATTCTTCTAAAAGCAAAGGTTCCATAAGGACAAGTAAAGGTGGTCTTTTCTTGGTCCTCGGGAGAAATGGCTATTTGATTGTACCCTGGATATCCATCTAAGAAACAATAGTACTCCTTTCCGGCTAATCTGTCTAAAATTTGGTCAATAAAAGGTAGTGGAAAATGGTCCTTTTGGGTAGCTTTGTTTAGTCTCCTATAGTCCATGCATATTCTCCAACCTGAAACAACTCTGATGGGGATAAGTTCATTTTTTTCATTTGTAACAACTGTAAACCCTCCCTTCTTGGGAACACACTGGACCGGACTAACCCAAGAACTACTGGCTATCGAATAGATAACTCCAGCATCTAACCATTTCAAAATATCTTTCTTGACTACCTCTTTCATGACAGGGTTCAGCCTTCTCTGAGGTTCTATGGACATGAAGTTTTTATCCTCTAAGATGATCTTGTGTTGATAAATAGAGGGACTAATCCCTTTCAGGTCAGCAATGGTCCATCCTAAAGCCTTTTTATGCTATTTCAGCATATCCATAAGTTTCTTTTCTTGATGCAATTCTAGGGTAGATGAGATAATGACAGGCAATTTGCCTTCTTCTCCTAGAAAAGCATATTTCAAGTGGGATGGGAGTTGTTTTAACTCCAACTCAGGAGGTGATTCTATAGACGGGGTGAAGTCTTTTTGCTCATTATTTTCAAGCAGCTCAAATGCTGCAGCATCTACTGGGACAACATCAGTTCCTATCTCCTCTATCTCCTCAATACTTTCCTTTTCTAAATCCTCATCATACTCTCCATCCAACTTAAGGTTTCTCTGAATTTCTTCTTCCAAACATATTTCCTCTATCTCAGTTATTCTTGAACACTCTTCCAAGTAATCAGGGTACTTTAGAGAGTTGAAGACATTAAAGGTGACTTTCTGGTCCTGGAGTCTCATGGTTAACTCACCTTTCTGGACATCAATCAGGGTTCTTCCGGTGGCTAGGAAAGGTCTTCCTAAAATAATCGGAATGTCCTTATCGGCCTCAAAATCTAGTATGATAAAGTCTGCAGGAAATATGAACTTGTCAACCTGTACCAAAACATCTTCAATTTTCCCCTTAGGATATGCTATGGACTTGTTGGCCAATTGGAGTGTGACGGTGGTGGGTCTAGCCTCTACTATGCCCAAGGTGTTAAAGACAGATAAAGGCATGAGGTTAATACTAACTCCTAAGTCACATAGGGCTTTCCCTATCTCCTTCCCTCCTATTGAACAAGGAATGGTAAAACTCCCTGGATCTTTTAGCTTAGGGGGTATGCTATTGGTCAAAAGTGCCCTACATCCTTCAGGGAGGGCTACTGTCTCATACTCAGTCAACTTCTTCTTTTTGCTTAAGATATCCTTCAAAAACTTAGCATAATTAGGCATTAGCTCAACTGCTTTAACAAGGGGAATGTTGATATGCAATTCTTTAAACACATCCAAGAACTTTTTAAAATGCAATTCCTCTTTCTGATTCCTCAACCTTTGGGGGTAAGGAACATAAGGAGGGATTGGTTTTATCATATTTTTGCATGGAGGTGTTGAGCAAGATGGGTCTTGAATGTCCTGAGTCTTTATGGTGCTCTTGAGTGGTTCTGGTGGAATCTTATTATCAAGCTTAGGTGTCTCTACAACCTCAGTCCCTTCTGACTTCTTCAGAGTCTCCTCTGGAAAAAGTAAAGGGAAGTCTGATCTAGGGGGAACAAGAGTAGTGGTCTCAGATGTTTGCTTTTCTAAGAGTGGGACTGGTCCTTCTTTGAGAGGGACCGACATTAGATCACTAGGTTCTGACAGACTTGGTGTATTATCTTTCTGCACTTTTTCTGTCAATTCCTTTCCACTCCTAAGAGTTACTACTTTCACATGCTCCTTTCCTAGGTCTCTAGGGACTTCTGTATTACCGGGCAAGGTTCCATGGGCTCGACTATTCTGGTTAAGTGCGAGTTGACTGACTTGAGTCTCTAAATTCCTGATGGCAGCACTCTGTTGATTAATCAAGGCTTGATTTTGGGCCTGAGCCTGTGCTAAAAGCCCTTTAATCATAGCCTCCAAAGAAGATGATGATTCTGCCTGTGGAAGAGGTTTGTTCTGAAAATGTGGTTGAGAATTTTGAAAACTTTGCTGGTGGTTCTGAGAGTTAGAACTATTTGCATGATGTTGTGGTTGGAAATTAGAAGTTCCTTGTTGCTTATGGACTGGTGGATTAAGGCTGGGACTGGTCCAAGAAAAGTTTGGGTGCTGTCTCCAACTGGCATTGTATGAGTTAGAGTAGGGATTAAATCTGTTTTGAACATAATTTACTGATTCAGAATTATGAGAGCAATGTTCATATGAATGATCCCCACCACAGCACACACATTGCACAAATAGGACTGTTGGAACAGATGTGTTAGCAGCTTGCTGTACTCCCTGATCAGTAGTTAAATTTTTCAATAAATTGGTCATGGAGGTAAGCTGAGCTGTTAATGCAGTGTATGCATCCACCTCATGTATTCCAGCAGTATTTTTCTGTGTCTGGGCACGTGGGTCAGCCCAATGCCCATTGTTTGCTGATATCTTTTCTAGGATCTCATATCCCTCATTATAGGTACTGGCTGTAAAGGCTCCGCCTGCAGTCGCGTCGAGCATTTGTTTTGCCATGGGACTTAACCCATTGTAAAACGTCTCGAGTTGAATACAGTACGGAATGCCATGATGTGGGCATTTCCTCAACAGCTCTTTAAACCTCTCCCACGCATCAGGGACAGCTTCATCATCCAGTTGTTTAAAAAGACAGATTTCGTTTCTGGATTTGGCGTTCCTTGTCGGTGGGAAATATTTTCGCAAAAATTTCTCCGCCATGTTACCCCATGACGGCACAGATCCTAGTGTTAAAGAATTAAACCATGCTTTTGCCCAATCCCGTTATGAAAATGGAAATAAAGTAAGTCTGAGAGCGTCATTTGACACTCCTGGGATCAGGAAGGCATCTGTGATTTCCATGAAAGATTTTAAATGAGAATGGGGGTCTTCTAAGGGCAGTCCAGCAAATTGACCATTAGTCTGTAACATATGAAACATTATCGGTTTTAGCTCGAAATGGAGAGCGGTCATATGTGGTCTAAGTATCCCATAATTTAATTGCTCAAAATCCGGGATAGCATAATCCATGATCCGTCCATTTTTGGAATTTGCCAGATTAATGATATTTG